CTTTCTCTTCTTTTATTCCTTTTCTGTCCTCTCTTTCTCTTAACTTTTCCATTGGTAGAATCCTCAGTACTTGAATCTGTCTTGCTTCCAGAAGACGAAGAAGAGGGAAGCACACCATCATATGAAGAAAAAGATGATCTATGTTGGGATTGGTGGTGTTTCTGGTTTTGCTCTTTTCCCATGTTTGTTTGTCATTTCTGCTGCCCAGCATCTTCAGGACTTGTGTGTGGGCACTTCTTATTCATGTCTACAAAACCTCCCTGCCCCGGTGAAAACGGTAGGGGAAAAGCCTTCCTGGGTGGGCTCAAGCCCTGCCTGAGGTGCTGAGGAGCCAGAGTGGGGAGCACCCGCCACCGCCATTACAGAGCTAGCCTCTGAGGTACTCTCTAGTAATGTAACTACAATGCCGCAGTTTGCCTTCAGAAATTAGTTGCAAGTTACTTCTGATGTGAAACCCTACCTCAGACATTTCTTTTGTGGTTTATAAAGATTTTAAACAAAACCCATTTACCTCCCTAACCTGGTCAGAAGTTTCTACCCAATGGGAGAGGTTTGCGTTGCTCAGATACCACTCCCCCACCCCCAATCACTCCACTGGGGGCCAGGGGGATTCTAAGGTGGACTCCCCTAGGCTGCCAATGGGGCAGGACCATTTGCCCAGACGCAAGTGCTTTTGAGGCTGAGACCCTGAGGCTATAGGTGTGTGCATGGGGCATCGCTCTGGGGTATGGATACCTTCCAGGCTGATACCCCAGGCTGCTGCTGGGAGGGGATCGCTCTGTGGGGGTTTGGGCACCTCCCAGGTTAAGATCCTAGGCTGAAGGTGTGTGTGTGTGTGAGGGTTCACTCCATGGGAAGTAAATTTGTTTTTGTTTTTTTATAGTGTCAGGAGAGCCTCTGGACAGCATTCTTCGAGGCTGCCTATACTGCTGGCTCTCAGGGGCAGCCCTCCCTGGGACTGGGACATTCCAAGGGGCCTGAGAGGACTGGACGCCGCCGCCATCTTGTAGCTATGGGTGCCACCATTTTTGTTGTGGAATGACTGTTAATTTGCATATTACTCTTTTATTAGATAGGATGGGTGGGCTCTCAAAAATTTGTTTTACAATTTGACCACATGGTGAGAGCCTTAAAATGAATTTGTATTTCTGAGTTAAGTAGTCAACTTGTCATAGTAAAAATGAAAACATTGGTAGTGTTATTTACCAAAGGCATGCACTATTTAGTGTGTGTGTGTGTGTGTGTGTGTGTGTATGTGTTTTACTTTGAATTCAAGACATAGCTGGTAAGAGTCTTGCACTATTTGATTGATAACTCCTTTCTATTAACTTTTGTCTCTTTACCTTCAACTGAGATGTCCTGTGCATTGACCTCACAGTCATCCCCATCTACTTCAATGAACCACATCAGCATGCTTTCACACTGGGAGCAAAAGCCAAGCAGACTTGGTCTTTACAAGGCTCTCACCATGTGGCCGAGAGGTCAGGAACTGCCAGTTGATCTTTGGCTTCTTGGAATGCTACCTCAAAGATCTCCTGGTTTGCAATCAATTGTGGTTCTTTGGCTTCTGGGCTGGTTTGTGCCTGTCTGTGCACAGAGAGAGAACAGTCACACCCCACAAGCAGCCCTCGTCTGCCACCTTCTGCCTTTTCAGTTCATAGTAACCTCAGCTGAAATTACGGTTGGGCAATCACCAATGCCAGGGTTAATCTTTTTTTTTTTTTTTTTTTTAATATATTTCATTGATTTTTTTACAGAGAGGAGGGGAGAGGGACAGAGAGCTAGAAACATCGATGAGAGAGAAATATCGATCAACTGCCTCCTGCACACCTCCTCCTACACCTCCTACTGCCCGCAACCAAGGTACATGCCCTTGACCAGAATCAAACCTGGAACCTTTCAGTCTGCAGGCCGACACTCTATCCACTGAGTCAAACTGCTTAGGGCCAGGGATTAATCTTTTCTAACTGCTTTCCCTACCCAAACATGCTTCCCTATAGTTGCCATCAAAGACCATGCCATCAAATAGGCAATAAATGAGCTTTTTAAGTTATTTTAAATTACTTGAGTCTAAAAAAGTAAAACTCTACCTATGTTAAACAAGGGTTTTAATATAGTTCCCTCACACCTTTGTCAGACAATAGCTTGATGCTAACTCTAAATTTCAGCTAGAAGTGGGGAACTAAGCTCTCCAAATGACAGCAAGTCTATTCCAGGCAGTCTTGTGGAAAACCAAAAAACCCTTAGTGACAGGAGATAATGAAAGTACATGTTACCTTTATGACTGAGCTAAAATGGTGTCGTGACCTGGCATTTTCTCTTTCCTTTTGACACATCCCTGCACGGCATGCGACGGGCGTCAGCACCGCCTTCCTGTGAATTTCACAGGGGTTCCTGTCAATGACACAATCACGGGCACGGTGAGAAGGAGCACGGCTTACAGGGATGGCTCGGAAACGAGATTGTTTTTCCATTTATTTTTTAAAATGCAAATTACACTAGTAAGTCAAAAAAATCACTCTGTTAAAAATACATTCAGAATTAATAAACGCAAAAAAGGAAGAGAAGAAAAAAAAGAAAAGGACACATCAGGTTTGTAACTCTTGCCTTCTGAATATTAGGTTTATAACAAAAGCTCAGCCTAGAAAAATAGCATTCTTCACCGGATCTTGAGGAGGATACAGCTGTACAACTTGGATGTTTTTTTCCAGATGGAATCACACTACTGTGCTCACTGCTCCCAGCAGCGACCTGTCCACTGATGACGTTTAGTAGTCAACAACTGGTTTTGGAAAAGTTTTGGTGGTGATGATAGTAGTGGTTAGGTGGTGACTTGGCTGCAACTTAAAGCAGGAAGATGAGGGCTTTTCTGTGCATTTCAATTCTTGCCAACATACATGTCCTGGAAGGTAGAAACTGATCACAGTATGAATGTACAGTGAAACCTCATTTTTTAAATTGTCACATGAATAGTTCCATTAGAGTAGTTTCTGGCATGTAGAGTATTTATAATTTAAGACTCAAAGGACAGTACATTGTTAAATATGTTTCTCATAGAGTAAACATGCATGTCACTATAAAATGATTAGGTGAGGTTTCACTGACATGTTTATAATCATCTGTTTGATTACATGTATATATGGACAAACGTATACAAGCCACTGAGAAAATTCAAGCACAAGTGCTGGAACCCTTTTTTGTAGTTTATGTTTCAATAGCAACCTTTGTTCCTTTATCATTTTCAAAAGTGGATATGCGTGTGTATCACTGATATCCATGCAACACAGTAATGGGAATGGTTTATGTAGTTCCGGATGGGATAAAGTCCAAAGTAGGTTGGCCCAAGAACTGAAACTTCTTAGAAACCAAGAGAAAAAGTTGCTTCATGCCAATGTATAGTGTGTCAAGTCTGAATTTTGCTGCACTTAACCATGCTATACTTGTTTAAAAATTTTGTTTTTAATGTCTCAGGTGGATCCAAGAAAAAAAAAAAAACGTGACTCATCTGACTTCCTGACAAGCCTGAGCTAATTATGTTTCCCACTCAGGAAAACCAAATAATGCTTGAATATATAGAACAAAATTTCCTAGAAATTCAGATTATTTCATAAACACAGTGACCTACGATTAAGTTTCCAAAGGCATCTTGTTGCCAACTACGTTAACAGCACAGTTTTTTTCTGCCACAAGAATACAGGAGGATTCAAATACACTCTACCACACAACGGATCCCCCAATCACCACAAGAAGATCTCAAATATGTCACCAAGATAACTATTGCTCCCTCCCCCACCCACCCCAAAAATAATCTCATACGCTGGAAGTTAGGGAAAAAAGTTCACCTACGTAGGGTCTTCAATGTGAATTAGATATAAAAGAGTAAACATAGCTAATACATATTCAGTTGGCCTCTGTTGATAGAAATCCACAGCTCTTTCTGTGTTAGTAAAAGACATTTGTAGATACTTAGAAAAGCACCTAGAGTGCGATAAAGTCAGTGAGTGATGCCATTTCTGCTTCCAGTAGATTAATGACGTTAGTAGATGATGAAGTCTTACTTTGCCCCCGCCCAACCCCGTCAGAAGCCCATACTGAAGAATTATAAAGATGATGATTATTGTTGTTGTTGTTGTTATTGGTACTTGTCTCTTTTTGGCCACTGTGGAGGCTCAATGGTAAAGCACTTTGCTGACAGCTGGCAGTTTTCTCGTACACAGACACACTGGAGCTGCTGGGCTATTCAGTCTTGCTTCTTGACATAAAACATACAGACTCGAACTCATTCGGAATTAATAGCAGTGAGTTAGCCTAAAGGAAGTGACTTGGGGATGTCTGCATTGAGATTCTCGGGCGCACAACTTAGGTGGGTTAAGGCAAGTATGTACGGGACAGCCTTTAGGGCAAACAACCTGCCAATTCAGACTTTGGTTACCAGGTCATCATGGCATGTTTTGTTTATTGGTGTTTGCAATTTTGTTGCCTACGGAGCCTTGGTGCTATCAAGATGTCTGGAGTGCAGAAGACAGGACTCTCCAGCTACTGTGCCCTGGATGACTTGACAGCTCCCAGAGGCCCACGGGCTGAGCAGCAGCGGAGTTAGTGACGGCCAGCAGAGGGCACCAACACGTCTCCTTTTGAACTTTCTAAAGGCCTGCGAGAAAGAAGCCTGCTTTCAGGAAGTCCAAGCTGGGTGTGTCCTGCATTTTCATCTGTTTCAGTTAGGAAGAGGAGGCCAAGTGGAACTGGTGTGTGTCTCAGTGTGTGTGTGTGTGTGTGTGTGTGTGTGTGTGTGTGTGTGTGTGTTTGTGTGTGTGTGTGTGTCCTGGTGTATGTGAGGCTTGGTGTTTGGTATGTAAAGTGTGAGGCTTGGTGTTTGTCAAAATGTATGTATATTTAAACTCAGTTGCTTCTTGCTCTTCATAAAATGCAGGAGGCCACTGTGAAACAAGTGTTGTTTTTTTTTGTAAGGTCCAGGAGCTGACATTATGAAGCCATATGTATTATTTCGACCTAAGAGAGAGAGAGAGAAGATGTTTTTTTTAATCAAGGGGGAAAGCTTAGCACCTTTTCTTGACTCTCTTAAGTACAAGAGCAAGAAAAGAAAAAAGAAAAGAAAAGAAAAAGACCCCAAGCCCAATTGTGCGTTAAATAGACACTTTTCCTCTCTTTTCCTTTTTTCTCAGTGAAATCTCCAGGATGGAGAGGCTGCTTATGGTAATTTAAAATCCATTTCTGGGACAAATACAATGACTATGTATTGCTGTACAATTAGGCTGCCAGAAAGAATGCGATGTTTTCAAATGTGTCTCACAGGCCCGGGGACTTCTCACAGTTTATACCGCAGGGAGCCCACACCCGTCTCTGCATGTTACGGCACTTAGGCCAGTGATGGCCAGGCAGCCGCTTGTTAGAAAATTAACTTGTGGACACGGGAATGTTTCGGGGAAGAAACTTCATAGCTATTGTTGATTTCAAAGAGGTTTACCCAACTCTAAAAAGCAAATTAATGATAACCTTCCCCTTTTAGGTGGATTATAGATATGTGAACTGAAGAATTACAGGCCAAGAACATGTACTACAGATACCAAATAAAATAAAAAGAGGACTGCCTATTCACGGGCTTACAGGAAGGGGTACGTGGCTGTGATGGAAGGCGGTGAGACGGTGTTTTCAAAGCTCTGTCTCTGAAACTGAAGATCTGCCGGGGACCATGGGAGTCCCACAGCTAAAACGGCACATTGCTTTTAAGCATTTCCTTCCCTGAAAGGAACACCTCTTACTTCAGTTGCTGTATACGATTGTTAGGGTGCTTGCACTGGCCCATGACGTTAAATCACTCTTACTCTCTGACACGTATTTATGGCTGGTAGAGAGAGGATACCCCTGGAAGATTAAAAGTATAGGGGATGCTCAGGTCTGTGCTGCTCAGCAGGGGGGGGGGAGGTTTATGTGTGAATCGGTTTTGCTTTGTCATAGGATCTCAGTAGACAGTGGCTCTCTGGGGATTGATTTTTGAGGTCCACCAAGTTGAAAACACCCTTCTTCATTCAACACCGCCTAGTGTGAAATCAAAAGGGGATCAAAGATACACAGAAAGTGGGGAGGGGTGCAGGCATGAATGCATGAATGGAAGCATGGCAGCTAAGTGAATGTGAAGCAGGAGAAATACGCATTTTAAGAATCAGGGAATGTAATGCCAGAGCAGACGCATGGTCTGTCTATGAATTTGGAAAGAACACCAAACTAAGAGGCTGGAAAGCTGGCTGCTACCTGGGGCTGCACACCTGACAAGCTGTGTGACCTTGTTTTCCTTCCACTTGACTCAGTTTCCTCATCTATAAAATAAAATCTTAGTATTTGAGGCCACTCACATACTAAGTGGTGAGAGGCTAGTAGTCATATTTTGTTGTTATATATATCTTAAATATTTCCAACTTCTTAAATTTGAATGCCATTAAACATTTAACTTATTTCATGAGCAGTGAGATTTGAAAGTTCTTATATAATTTTTACTACTCCCTGGAAGTAAAGAAGAATAATCATTATTTTTGGTTTAGGATTTAAAGTATTCTATTTAATAAAATTACAGGAAGTTAGTATTTAAGGAATTTAATGCTGGAAAAAAAATTTGCAAAGTCCCCCCATTAAAGACATTAGAATTATAAATGCTTGATTTAAAATAATATACTTGATTATGTATAATTAGCATTCTTATGTTATTATTATAGCGGATCCTTACATAAGTGGTTATATCTACTTTATGGTAGTTTAATCACATTTATTGATCATTCCTATTGACCAGCACAATGAAATGCTGTGTGCTAAAAATGTTATGTGCTATTGTCAGAGCAAGCAATTACAAGCCTTGTAGATGCCCTGGTTTACTCTTAAGCACAAACATATTGTTACGTGTTACACATATTGTTACATGTTACTTGGCCTGGTGTTATATGAGATACAGTGTTTACAGAGGAAATCCTTTGGGAATGAAATACAGTGTATATTGATTTGTGATTTGATAAAGTCTTTCCATGGGTTATACTGGGTTAGCATAAACATTATTCTTACTAATAATGAATTATGTTTATTTAGTACTTATTATGTGACATGTCCTATGCTTTTTATGAGTTATTTCATATACATTTAGAACAATTATATGTCGTATTTATGCTATTGTCTCTATTTTTCTGGTGAGAAAATGTAGGTTTGGTGAGAATAAATAAAGTTGTTCAAGTAAAATTATATGTCCAAGGTCATAGGGAATTCAATTTCAGGCCACCTGACTTTAATAGGTCATCTTTATCACTATTCCTTACTACTTTGCCTTTATTTTTAAATAGAATCTTTATATAAGGCTATGATACAATATTGAGAAGAATGGTAAAATATTTAGAGGGTTTATCATTTTATTTTTTAGTTAAGCTATCAAGCATGTTTGGAAGAATAGAAAGGGTATGCTATAAGTAGAAAATAACTATAGTTGGCAAAAAAAATTAACAGAGAAAAAGGAAGTATATATTAATATATAATTTAATAGTGAAATTTCAAAGAGTGGAATTTGGAAAAAAAGATGATGTGTGTGTCAAGAGAACAGCATGGGCAATTGGAAAAATACATATTATACTTGCAAAAGGCAAAAGTTCTGGTTTGGCTGGAAAAAAAAAAGTGGTTAAGTCTAGATATCAGACTATTCATGCCCTCAATAGATTATAAGCTTCGGGAGAATAGGGGTCAATTCTTATTCATTGTTACATTTTCCTAGCATCTTCTAACATCATCTGCATATCATTGGGACTTAAATGTTATTGAGGGTTGAGGAGAAGAGATGTTTCCACAAAACCTTGTGGCTGGAGTGGAGTAGATTTCCAGGTTTTGATAAGGAGCTTGGCCTCTACTGGTAGGTAGCAGCAGGAAGTCATTGATAGTTTTTGGATGGGGAGTGACATGATCAGAGTGGTACTTTAGGAAGGTCCATTTAGAGGCCACAGGAACGATGGGGGAGGGGCTCTAAAATAAGAAAGAGAATGGAAAACTTAAGGCCCTGAATGCTAGGAGGACAGTGCTGTGGAGATATAAAAGTGGGAATCTGTGAAGTACTGTTTACAGAAGGAATGCTCTGAATGACACATAGTGTTGCCTGATAATTGAATCACTAGAGGCTTTTATATGAATGGTGTTACCAGGTGCTTCCAGGGAACTACAAGGGACACAAAGAGAAATGGAGGCATGCTGCATAGATCATTCCCTTTTTAAAAAGAAGCTGGAAAGGTATGCATACAGGTTCATTTCTCTGGAGAAATACCTCCAAAACCCATTTGGTATCCTACACACTGACGGCATTAAAAGGTAAAATGATTTGATGGTGGAGGACAACGACAACAAACACATATCTTCAAAGAGAGAAGCTCACATTTCAAAATGAATTGGAATCTTACTTTCTATTTTGATCCTCGCTTGCAACTCAGCATATCACTTGATGCTGATATATAGAATTTGTTATCAGTTGTTATCCAAGGGAATTTGCCTAAACACAGATATAAAAATCAGGCTCTAATCGTATATCTGCTCTCTGGAGTGCTAGAGTTAAGGGTCTGATAAGTTTCAGTGTTAAATAGTCTGGATTCATTTTCACTTTTCAAATCACAAAAATGATAAAGTGTTGCTCATTTTTTTGATTTTTTTTTTAACACTATATCTAACTGGAGTGACAACTTAACACTTACTATCTAAATAGGGGTGTTGGTAATAATTATACCAGCACAACCAGGACAACCTGTATATATCTAGACTATCCTGGGAAAAAACAAAACATATGGTTTATATCTAGTCACATACAACTACCTACAAAGTTATATGATTTTAAATATATAAAATTTTTTGGTAATTCAAAAATTAGTATATGATTAGAGGTTTTTTTTTTTTATAGCCATGTAGTTGATACTTATATAAGACTTAAGGTAACTTTAGATGTGGCATTTCTAAGTTAAATTTTAAAATAATTATGAAGAACATGGTATCAGAATTATCCCAGTCAGAATGAGATGAACAGGAGAGAAATACTACAGTATGTAACTGAAGGAAAGTTGCATGCCATCATTTTGTGCCACAGAATTCCACTTCACCATCTTTTGGTACCCCCAATGAAAACCTCCCGAGTAATACTTACATGTACATAGGCTGTAGTTGTAAATGAGACGTCTTCTGAGGCCCTTGATAGCCATAAGAATCAAAGCCACCTATGAAATCAACTGAAAAGGGACAAGCCTTCGTTAATTAACTTTTCAGAAGAGATCGCCATTCATGATCAAGGTCTCACACAGATTCCTCAAATAAACCTTGTAATAATCTAGTAAATCAAAAGTGACTAATTGTAGTAAATCGAAAGTGACTAATTGTGGAGGGGAAAAAAAAGATAGTTCCCTCAAGGAAGTGACTCCCCCCTCACCTGTTCTCTTTATAATGCCTTGAGTGTTATGGGTAGAAAATGGAGCAAGGTGTGAAGTAATATAAAATTTATGATGTCTATTTGTCTGTTTAGTGGGGAAATCTTTTTAAATTGGATTTTATTTTTTAGAGCAGTTTTAGGTTTGCAGCAAAATTAAGCAGAAAGTACAGAGTTCATATATACATCCTATCCCCACAGATATACAACCTCCTTATCAACCTTCCCCAGAGTGGTACGTTTGTTACAATTGATGAAGCTTCATTGACCCATCATTGCCATGCAGAATCCAGAGTTTACATTGGGGTTCACTCTTGGTGTTTTATTTTTTTTTTAAAATATATTTTATTGATTTTATACAGAGAGGAAAGGAGAGAGATAGAGAGTTAGAGACATCGATGAGAGAGAGTCATCGATCAGCTGCCTCTTGCACACCCCCTACTGGGGATATGCCCGCAACCAAAGTACATGCCCTTAACCGGAATCGAACCCGGGTCCCTTCAGTCCCCAAGCCGACGCTCTATCCATTGAGCCAAACCGGTTTCGGCCACTCTTGGTGTTTTATAACCTATGGGTTTTGGCAAATGTATAATGATATGTATCATACTGAACAGTTTTACTGCCCTAAGATCCTCTGTGCTCTGCCTTCTTATCTCTGCCTCTCCCCTAATCTTGAGCAACCATTGATCTTTTTTTTTAAAATTTAAATTCTTTACTGTTTAAAGTATTACATATCTCTTTTTCCCCCACTGACCTCTCCCAAACCACTCCTACCTCCCAGCACATGCCCTCACCCCCCTACTGTCTATGTCCATTGGTGATGAGTATATGCATGCATACAAGTTGATCTCTTACTGCGCCCCTCTGCCCCTGCCCCACCTTCCCTCTGAGGTTTGACAGTCTGTTAGATGCTTTTGTGTCTCTGGGTCTATTTTTTGTTCATCAGTTGTTTATTATATTCCACAAGTGAGTGAGATCATGTGCAACCACTGATCTTTTAACTGTCTACATTCTCTTATAGAATGCTATGTAATTGGACTCTATACAGTGTGTATCCATTTCCGACAGGCTTCTTTCACTTAGTAATATGCATTTAAAGTGCCTCCATGTCTTTTTATGGTTTATATAAAATTTCTTACTGTGACTTTTTTTTTAAAGACAGAATTCCTCTTCTCATCAAAATTAAAATAGTATAATGAAAAAAACAGAGACCCTGATGTTGGAAGGATCATGGTTCAAATATTGCTTTGACCATCTGCCAGCTGTGTGACCTTAGACAAATCACTTAAAAGCTTTTAAAAGTAGTAATTACAATAATTAATTCATACAATTAGCTTGAGGATACAATAAGATAAGGCATATTGTGAGACAGGGTTTGGAAAAAGAAAATTATAAGCCCCTGGAAAAAAATCAGGACTCATTCTAAGCCTGTGCAGTGCAGGAGAGACAGACATTATTTAATTTGGGACAACTATGGAACTGTACCAAGTGTTTTATAGAAGATGAGAGAAAAAGAGAATGAGCATCTTTTGTTTTCTGAATTGCCCACATTTGTACATTAGCTAAGATAAGCAGAACCAGAAGAGCTACATAACAATTTAATGGCAACTACATTTAAAGTTTGTATTTTGAGAAATTATTGTCTATGCCTGGGGATTTGTTGCAGATGGAGTCCAAATTCTCTTTCACTTGGGTTCACCATTGTGAACACTAAGACTTTCCTTGAACAATAGTTTGCTGAGAGATTTTCACAGCATTAAAGTTTTCGTTTTCTGAGGTTCCCTTTCAGTAGGAAGGTCATCTCCAGGGAGAACAGAGTGTATTAGAGTAGCTCAAGATCAGGGTAGATGTAAACAGTGCATCTCCTCCACCTGCATTGAGATCCAAGTCAAGCTCAGGTTCATGTGTTATTACTTTTATATATTTCCTTAGGCTCCCTATCCTCCCCTAAGGATTTCAGATGAATAGTAGAAAAAGGCAGCTGGTAATCGTCAGCCAAAGATCATGGTGTAAACCAAGGGATAACCTGAAGAAACCAAGATAAATCTTCAAGTCCAGTGGCTAGAATCTTGATCCAAAATGGAAGACAAAGGTTGAGTCCAGTGGGATGTACCTTCCTAAGACATGAGAAAAGGCCACAGGGAAAACGAGGCATATCTAGCATGCTTTGCAAATGAAGCTTGAGTTGTCTGGAGCTTACTCTAATTAGCCATGAAGAAAAAAAAGCAGATTTGAATGTAACCAGGATGGGTTTTTACCATTTCATTCATTGGGTAGGTGGATGGCGGTGTCAGATTTAAACCAGAATTAAAGGGCATATTTTCTGTACTTTATTTTACATACAGGCCTGCGTTCACAGACAATGGAATGAGGTAAGGCCATTTTCCACATGAATTCATTCTGATTAATTGTATGGATGTCTTCCTAAATATCTGAGGGAGGTGAATAGGAATAAATGGAATCTAAGTGACCAACTGCCATTAATCTCTTAATGGTCAGAGTCCTCTATTGGTTGTAGATGTCTACTTTTGTTATTTTTTCTAAAGTATCTTTTATCTGTTCTTTATAGAAAATTTACTCCTTCATCTTCTTTCAAACTCCAATCTAATATTCTCAGAATATTCTGATGTAAACCATGATCAAAACAAAAACCCACCTGTGCTGGATTTGCCAGTGATAGTTAAAAATAAGTTTTGATTTTCTGTGATGTACCTTTAAGAGGTGATACAGCAAGCATCTCTCAAGGCTTATCCATTTCCTTTGTGTATGGATAACTCGTGCAGATAGCATATAAACATTTAAGCAGTCTTTCCACTCAGAAATTATTTATATTCTCAGCCCCATTTTGTGTACCTTTGACTACAGTGATGCTTTTCATAGTAAAGAGATGTTTTCCTTATAGCCACTTGGTGTTTTGTCTCTGCTATTTCAATGCTTATTATAAAATGTGAAAGACAGAGGAATTAGGGAAGCCCTGAATTAGAATGAGGAGGACCAGAAAAACATGACAATGAATGCAAGATAAATGGAGAAAGGGGTAGAAAACCTAGGACATGCCAAGGTTTTGAATATTAAGGAAGGGAAGCAAAAGGCAAGATTCAAAGTTGATTCTTAGAAATTAGTTGGCTAGAAGAATGCTGCTACCTTTCCCAGAACAAAAAAAGAATGTCAGGAATAAGTTGGTGTTTGGCTTAATTTAGAAATGTATTTAATTTACAAGGGGCACATATAAATGGTAAGGACCAGGAAATGCTTGGAAAGAGGGAAATGTAACTGAAATTGGTGCAAAGTAAATTGGGGACTTGCTGTCATTAATTTTTTTTTTTCAATTATAGATGGCATTCAATATTTTATATTAGTTTCAGGTGATTCCTTGTCTCTCTCCCTTCCAATAAATCATGAATTTATTTCTCCTCACAGGGCTTTATTTTGGTTCATCGCAATATATCTCTACCTGACAAGTAGTAAATGTAGTTGTTTATTTGTTGATTCCTCCACTATAATGTAACTGCATAAGATGGACAGTTTACTACTGTTTCCTACAGCCCCAGGCCCCAGAACATAGATTGGCTCATGGAAGACCCTTGTATGCATTTACTGAATAAACTGTAAAAAAAAAAAATAAAATAAAAAGAGAGAGAATCAATTAGAGTGTGGAAGATTAGAGTACAAAAGATGCTGATAAAATTTCTAAACATTTCTTCAATGAGAAGTAGTTGAGTAATTACTGTAAGCTTGAGGTTCTAAAAACTTACAAAAATGAAATACAAATCCCACCTGATAAACTGTTTTGTGTTTTTGCCCTTGTCTCTTTCTGCCAGTTCTCAGGGAGGGCAACACCGTAGGTGAGACACATGCCGGCTTTTTGCTCAGTCCAGGATCTTGCATGGAACAATCTTCTAATAATGAAAGCCACTGCTTTGACAACACATCACAGGGAAGCTTTGAAGTAGCGTAAAGATTGAGAGCTTTGGAGTCGAAGACTTGGTCTTAGCTTGTGCCTTCACTTCTTATCAGCATCTTACATAAGACAACTCCATATATCTGAGTTTCCATTAGTCCAAATATTTTTGGCGATCACTTTGTGTATTTTCCTCAGGACACAGAGAGGCTGGGACCAGCCTGGGCCATGGTCTGTGAGTCTTAGGCATGAATGCAGGGAAAAGAACGATCCAATGGAATGAGCAAGAATGAAGACACTGAGAGCTCAGCCTCCTGCATGGGGAGGAGGACATGAGGTCAAGGCTCAGTGGAAGGATTCTTTAGAGAGGAAAAGCTTAAGTACTCCCCTTGGACTTGGGCAGGGCTGCGGGAGACAAGAGGATAAATGCTGGTCTGGAGTGTTGTTGAGGTCCTTGGGGAAGGCGGGGATTTTTTGTTTGATAGCATTGATTTCCTCAGGTTTTGGTCTTAGGCTTCCGGGCCTGGAGAGGTTTGGACTGGGTCCTGCTGCGAGTTGGTTGGGCAGGAGAGAGCATCCAGCTGTGTTCATTGCTTTCTCCAGCAATGTGCAGCCAACAAAGCTGGGAGTGGAGAAACTGAGTCTAAGCCTCATTAGGCATGGATGTAGGAAGGAAGGAAGGTTAATGGTTCCAGTGGAGAGAGGCCCCTGTATAAAGATTTAATACGTTTCTCCAGGAGAGAGGCCAGAGAACAAGGCGGGAGAAAAAACAGGGCTTCACAGGCAGGCAGATAAGTTTGATATTGGCGATGTTGAAGAACCCTTTGTTCTCCCTAAGGAAGATGATCCGACTGAGCCTCCCTGAGGAAGGAAGTCAAGAGGCTCCATGAAGTGAATGGGCGATG